AGTGATTTGTCTAGTGCTACATTCTCAGGGCTTGCAGTATTCAATGTTTTAAGAACTTCCTAAGCCAAGCTGCCATATTTGTTAATGCACTTCATCACAGGTACCACTACCTTCACATTCAAGTTTTTGTCCACAAAATTATTGACCAAGGAAGCAATATGTCACCACATCTAAAGTTTAAAACTACTCCAGAAAATGTACACTAAGCCTAAGGGGAGCTGCCTTAGAAGCTATACTCTGTTCCCCTCTTTCTCAGTAGTCTCTGCTTTTGCTGCTCCTTCCCATTCCCCTGGTCCTTGTTACCTTCCTATTCTGGTCCAGGTGTTTCTCCAGAAAGGGACAGCCATTAAAATTCAGATATCCATAAGGTAGGTGGGTGGCAGTAGAAATGCATGGCATAAATAGATAGGTGCGGCTTACATGTCACCGCCAGATTCTCATTGTGTTGAATGTTGAAACTGGTAGTGTGGCCAGCCTGTGTGTATATAGTATTATTTTTACTCCTCTCGGTGGCACAACCAGGTTTAGCCTTGGTGTAAGGAATTTGACAGGCTTTTCTTCCCCAGGGCTCAATGCCAGCTGCTGAAGCCTACCTGTTTTCCCAGTGGTGTGCCTGGATCCTCCAGCCCAGAGCACTTGCAGACTGTGTCTGCTTGGCAGCTATTTCACTGATCTGTGCTCTCTGACTCTGCTCTTTCTTTATTATATTTACACACCACTCACAATTTTAAGCTAAGCTTTGTAGCACAGTGACTGTCATTTAATATTTATTCATGTGGCGTCCAGCAGAGTGACCCAAGCAGGGAACAAATGACGCGTTGCTGTAATTCAAGTAAATAATAGTAGAATAACTACTGAAAAGTGAAAAATGACATTTGTAGAAATATGTAGCTACTTGTGTGCTATGTAACTTCTGTATACTCACAGTCTGTATCAGTATGATTTCAGTGCTTGTAGTACCTGCCTGCCCTCTCGCTCAGCAGTATCTGCTTCCAGGTGACTGACACTTCTGTACACTCACAGTCTGTATCAGTATATGATTTCAGTGCTTGTAGTACCTGCCTGCCCTCTCGCTCAGCAGTATCTGCTTCCAGGTGACTGACTGCACTTCACAACCATATTGCAAAAAAAGTCCTCTGGTTGCTTTAGATCAGATGGCGGTTTGCCAAATCTAGGCTCTGTTGACAAATATTTTGTCAATGGTGAGCTAATGAACATGTTTGTTCTCTTGCTGACTTTGGTAGAAATGCTTGATTGAAGGCCACTGGTTGTGCAGCACAGAGGATGAAACTAAACAGAAATGGTTGGATTTCCAGTGGGTAAGAAAAGGACAGCATGTTCACGAGACTGGAAAGAGGAAAGTACTCAGGAAAATCTGCTGCCTTCCTTTTGAACTTAATTGCTGAAGCTGTAACTTCCCCAGCAAGAACTCCTCTGGAACAACATTATTTCAGTCCCCTGTGATTTCTTCTTTGGCCAATTTTGTCATTCTCTAATTGCAACTTTACCCAGCTTTAGAAAGTCATTTCCAGGATAGATGCTCCAGCAGAGCCCCTCAATCCACAAGTGCTGGAGAGAGAGAGGCGATCTCTTCTGCTAACCCATCAAGGTAATTGGAGGGGTTGAGGGCAGAGAACAGATACCTTTTGGGTACACCAGCACTTCCGTAGGTCTTAGCAGCATGGTCATTCTCTAATTGCAACTTTACCCAGCTTTAGAAAGTCATTTCCAGGATAGATGCTCCAGCAGAGCCCCTCAATCCACAAGTGCTGGAGAGAGAGAGGCGATCTCTTCTGCTAACCCATCAAGGTAATTGGAGGGGTTGAGGGCAGAGAACAGATACCTTTTGGGTACACCAGCACTTCCGTAGGTCTTAGCAGCATGCTGAGCGCAAGCTCTTCTGCTAACCCATCAAGGTAACTGGAGGGGTTGAGGGCAGGGAACAGATACCTTTTGGGTACGCCAGCACTTCCGTAGGTCTTAGCAGCATGCTGAGCGCAATGCTTGGGTTTTACTTGATTAAAAAAATCTGGTGGACACGTGAAAAGAAAAGGTGATTGTTCTACAATGCAGTTCATTAAGCTGGTTAGTTAAAAAAAGAAAAAAAAAAATAGTTGCTCAGTGAAGTAAATTGCTCTGGCAACATGACTCCGTCCCAGTTTTCTGAATCTTCAGTGGGGGTTTTGGCAGCTGGCTGTGAGTTAAGGGTGCAAGCTGTTGGTTGCTTTCCCAACCCTGCCTATCACAGCTACTTTGGCACTATACAAGCACAGCAGCACCGATGTTTTTCTGCTTTCTGCTCTCTTCCAGTGCTCACTCCTATGGGTTACACAGTTTACTTTGTGAATGTGAGCTTTTTGACATAGCCAACACAATCTCTTCTTGTGCTTTTATTAAGATTCAAACATCTGCACCCTTACACTGACAGGTTTTTCTGCTTACTGAGGGGTACAAAGCAACTAGCCAGGGTTAATGGGGAGTCAGTGGAAGGGGCAGAAGTAGAAGCCCTTTCCACTCTGTAGTCTGGTGAGGTTCAGTGGTGGTTCCCCAGGGTACATTAAACTTATCTCTAGAGTCTAGGTTGCTTCTGTGCAGTTTTCTCCTTGGGGAGGAACTGGTAGAGCTGATGGATACTCAAAGATTTCCCCTGCGAGCTGGTAAAACTCTCTAGCTTTATTTCCAGTAAAGGGTCAGCTCTGTGCTAGGCTGTCTGATGTGTGGCTACAATGCCTCAGTTTGTGCAGCAAGAGAAAGGCAGCGGCAGTAGATAAAAGTGAAGAAAATGTCTTTAGTGAGCTCTTCAGAGTGATGGGCTTTGCTGGATTACATATTCTCTGACCACAGTGCATCCCTGAAGCCCTTCTTCCCTGCTTGGTGACCCTGGTCCATGGGTGGCAGTTCAGGCTGACCTGCTGTCTCTGGCATGTATGTTCACCAAGTGGGAGAGAGCCTACAGAGCCTTCCTGCAAATGCCCATGCAGCCTCTTGAGGCCCCTATGAGGGCCAACAGATCTGCTCTGGGCTTCACATCTTTGTAGGCAGCTGTTTGAGATCTGTTAAAAGTCAAAAGGACAAAATCACACTGTTTTAGTGAATAAAAAAAAATGCAAAAGAAAAAACCTTTTCTCTTCCTAGGATGCTATTGACTTAGGAGGTAAGTTACCATTTGCATCTGGGAAGAGGAGTTACCTTATTTTTGGAGTTTTTGCACACCAAATTGGATAAACCCTGAACAACATGGTCTGAATTCACCGTTGATGGTGCTTTGAGTGGGAGGCTGGACTAGAAACTTTATGAGGTCCTGTCCAGCATGAATGACTCTATGAGCAGTATGCATCAAACTTATTGACTGATGCTAGGATTAATTTGTTCAGCTTTGCCAAGGAGTTGCTACATCGTGGGGAAAAACAATAAAGAAAAGAAAGGCAAGAGAAGAAGCTAATTAACCGTATTCCTTTACTTTGCATAGAAAAGACACAAGTTGTTCTCCTACCTATGCTGCACACTTTGCCATGGAACAGCAGTTCCTTCAAGTTATATTGACCTCTTAGAGCAAACGATTTCCTTAAAAATGACATTTGGTATTTGATGGGTTTCTGTCTCATTAGGGAGCCATTCAAATACAGCAGATCTGATTTTTACCACTAGCAGCATTGCAAATTCTAGACAGAGTGCTTCATGAAGGTTCAGTTAGCAAGAAATGTGATTATAAAGATATCTAATGACTTTAGTTTGCATATACAGCACAGATACTTTCCAGATACTGTATTTTATTAACCGTTAAGTGCCAAATATACCTATAAATAAATAAGGCCGGATTTTGTCACTCTGTCTGACATTGACTGGAACCTTGCCCTAGGAATACATCCATCTAAGTCTGCTGGACTGCTCATATGGGAAAAACCCATCACAAATAAGACTGCATGTGGCAGACTTTGGCCTGAATTTATCTGCATATGTAGGTAGTCCTTATGTATATACAGGCAACTTAGAAATATATGCATCAACAGTTTAGCCACTTTAATGCCCTTTCAAGAGAATTCTTCAATATTATTGGGTTTTTATGAAAGCAGATGGGCAAAGAGCTCTCAGTCGCCTAGCTCTGCTTTGTGGCATGTCATTTGCTAGCAGTGCTAGTGGCTTTACATCCCACATGTGAGTGTCCACTGTTTCAGGTAGAAGAGACACTGGTAACAGTCCTTTAATGAACTGTTTACAACATCTCTTGTAAAATGCAGCAAGGATGGAACCTGAGTGCCATTAGTCGGAGCATGAACATACGACAGATGTAGGTAGACTGCCGGATCACAACCAAGTACGCCACGACAGCAGGCACAATCCTGCTCTGTTCACAGAGTTCTGGCTGAAACCTACTGTGAATCTTAGGTGAATTCACCTGTTGACTACGAGAAGTACCTATTGATAAGGTCTAAATGGAGTGGCCTCCAAGGTTACGTTTTGGCCTAATGTGAGCAGGTAAAGGGGAAAAAAATCCCACATTTGGGTTTTACCAAAAATGTCCATGCCATTGAAAATTTGACATGGCAGTAAGTTGGCCATGACAAATTTCCGGTTTTACCAAAAATATCCATGCCATTGGAAATTTGGCATGGCAGTAAGTTGGCCATGACAAATTTCAAGTCATTGTGATTTGAAATGTGATAACAGGAGGGTTTCTCAGTGAAGAATTTCTGTGCTTCAGATACTTTTATTTAACAAGGATAGGTCTCTTGTTTTTGGAAAAAGACTTGTTCTGGATGGTATTTACAAAAAGGAGAGGAGGGAGGGATTAGTCAGAGGAAGATACTGGAATGAAAAATTGAAAGTGAACCTGTTCAAATATAGGCAAGTTACAGGTGACTTAGAACAGCGTTGTAATGGTGAGGATGAGAAGTTGGCCTCAACTCTCAACAGATGATAACTGTGCTGTCTAAAATACACAAATATACCATAGAATGGTATGACATTTCATATGAGGTATTTTTTCCATTGTGTTGTAGGGTGAAGAAGGGCCTCCCGGCTTTCCTGGACTGAAAGGGGATAAAGGAGAAAAAGTAAGTCCAAGTCTTTATTAATTATACTGTGAAAAGTTTAAAAGTTTATAAAGCTATTGTGGAAGGCTAATGAAAACAGGCCCTCTTCTAAATCTTTTGTTTTACCTCTCTGATTTCCTGTTTTGTGTTAGCAAGGTGCTAAGGAAAGGAGGCTATGCTGTTGTACTACTTTTGACAAAGTGCACCTTAAAATCTTTAAACCTATTCATAGAACCATTATGGTTGGAAGAGACCTCAAAGATCATCAAGTCCAACCATATACCCGATGGCACCGTGCCCGCTAAACCCACTAAACCATGTCTTGAAGCACCACATCTAAACGTTTTTTGAACACCTGCAGGGATGGTGACTCCACCACCTCCCTGGGGAGCCCATTCCAATGCTTAACGACTCTAACAGTGAAGAAGTTCTTTTTAATGTCCAACCTGAACCTCCCCTGGTGCAACTTGAGACCGTTTCCTCTAGTCCTATTGCTAATTACTGGGGAGAAGAGACCAACCCCCACCTCGCTACAACCTGATGACACTCAGCCACATTTGACAAACGTGTGGTGATCTCAAGGGTATGAACTTTGTCTAAACTTTGTAAAGCTCTGAAACAAGAGTTGAAACAGAACAGAAGCTCAGTGCTAATGCCTCCATATACAGAAACACCAAGGTTTCTTCAATATGAGACATGGAAGGCCAAAGATTATGATGTTCCTTCTTGCACTAAGCATAAATAACTTTTGGACTGGCATGACCTTTAGCTGCTTACTGTGTCATCATCTTTAAAAAAAAAAAAAAATTATCCTGCACTGAGCTTGCTCTGTCAACTAGTATTTACTTTGGACACATTTGTCAGAAATGCCTTAAACATCATTTGCAGGAGGGATTTTAGGAATTTAAACTTTTTCCACCTCTTATAAAATAGCAAATATTCAGATTGCAAGACAAGATCCCCCTCCAAGTAATATACAACCAACCAACTCAGTATAATCACAGCCCAGAGTGGCAGTTTGTAGTGCCCATGTCTTTTTCTCATTTGAGCCTTTTTTTGCAATACACTTAAAAAAACCTGCTGCAGTGCCTAGAATTCGAAACACCAGGCCAGTTCCTCGCCATGTACATTTACTTGCCTGTTGTGTGTCTATTGTCTTTCCATTCTCCATTTGTTCTTTAAATTGCCAGCTGCATGCGGCAAAACTTGCCGCCTTCTCACATTTGCTGCAGTCTCCGTTAGCTGTGGTGCTGCCAGCCTCAACATATTTAGTTCCATTTGTCCTGGCGCATAGGAAGATTTAAAAAGTGGTGCCTGGTTTTCTGTTTCTTTGTTTTCTACGACTTTGCACGTTCACAGCTCTGAGACTGTGGCCAGTGGCCACAGGTAGTTCCTGAGGACTGCTTGAATTTTTCAAGGCTTCTTTTCTGTTTGCTTTTAGGCTCATTACCTGTGTATGTACATTATAGCTGTGCCTAGAGGCTTCTGAGCTTTGGGATGGATGCTGTACAAGCAAGGAGTAAAAAAAAATTTAAAAAAATTTAATATTTAGTTATTAAACAGCATTTTTTTGAGACAATGGAATGGTGGACAGAAAGGCTGAGGAGAGATAGTATTAAAATGACTCAACGGTTACATGTTTAATTAGCTGCAGCGCTTTTATATTAATTTATTCTTAAATGACTTAAGTGGCCAAGAGTGCCTAGTTCCTCATTAACAGCTCATCAATGGGCCATAGTGTGTTAATGTCAGCAGCAGCTCCTCCAGAGACTGTAAATAATAAATGTTTGCATTGAAATGTTTCTCCTCATTCCTGTTCTTGTCTTGATGCATTACTCATGTCCTTGCAGTTGCACCAGGTGTTAATATAGTGCTGATGATAATTCTGTTGTTGTTACAGGGGTCCCTGGGCCCACCCGGCCCCCCTGGGAAGGATGGAGCAAAAGGAGAAGCCGTAAGCCCTTTTGTTCCTCCCATGTAATCCTTGCCTTTCAGTGCAAGGCAGGCAGTGAAAATCAATCTGTATTGAGTGGAATATGTCTTGGGGATTTGTATGGCCATTTTGGAAATGGCAGAAACAAATGGCAGGAGGTTAATAGCCCCAGCACCCTCCCTCACACGTTTGCAGCAATGGCAGGTGTCCTGTGGATTAGCCATCCTGAGAGTCTTCCGAGGCAGCTCTGTCACCATTCATTAAGACGGGAAAGGGGGCAGTCATGGCAGCCGGTGGTTTGGGACCTGCTGCTGCGGCTGTACTAGTTAATAGTTGCAGCTGCAGAGCCTGGCCATTTATTTTAAGTCTGGCAAAGAGTCATCGGCTAGTAGAGACAGGAGCAGGTGCAGGGGAAAATCTTGGGCTTCCACAGCAGACAGGGGTTAAAGAAATAGGTGTCTCAGTCACAGAAACAAGGACCTGGAGTCCTCTTAAGCACTGCTAAAAGCTAAGAGCAAAAGAAGAGGTACAGAGTTAGCTCAAAGAAAGATGCAGCATATCAAATATTGCCTTTAAGAAGACTACAGTTGCAGCATAAAACCACAAATATATTTTCCAGTATCTTACATAAGAGTGTTTTAGAGCTTTCCCTCCTTTCCCCTGCTTGATCACCATCCCTTTGAATTATCTTCATCCTGATGGTGGACCTTTATCATCTCATTCATTGTCCCTTTGTGGCAGTCATTTGGTGGTGACGGGAGGAACTCGGGGAAGGGACTCTTTGGAAGGGCAGGCATACACAAATGCAGTCATACACAGCAGAAAAGCTTTTTTTTTTTTCCCTGTTACTTACATGCTGTTTCTACTTTGTGCCACACTTGTCCCACTTCGGAAAACTGATAATTTTCCAATATAGCTTCCAGAACCATTGCAACTTCATCACATTACACATGTCATGGTCCGGGATTGCACAGTGACATACTTGGACTTGCAGAATTTCTTATAGGATGAGTTTATTGCACTGAAAGATCACTATTCAAGAACAAATGCGTTATCTGCAAGAAATCTTGTTATCTCCAAGAAATCTATATTTGTAGATTGTGGTCAGTGCAAACTGTTCATAACTTAGAGAACTCCTTTCTTGCTACTTAGGTGGTTGTGTTTGAAGAGCAGGTGAATAGCTGCTTCAGTTTTCGATTTGTCTCTTTCTGCTTTCATTTCTGCGAATAAAGCACACTGCAAACCTTCAGATCTCTGCATAATGGTAGTCAGGATTGTAAATATTGGATAGAGCTTGCATTTCTAAAGCTGTATGTAACGATTGTTTTGATCCATCCTAGCCTGTATATATAAAAGATTAGCATTTACCAACAATATTGCTGTTACTTGCAGGGTGAACCAGGACAGCCAGGAGCATTTGGACTGCCTGGGCCAGAAGGTCCAAAGGTAAGCTTTCCATTGAACAGCTCATTCTGGATGTCATCGCTAAGCAGCTGGAGGAAAAGACGACTATTAAGAGTAGTCAACATGGATTCACTAAGGCAAAGTCATGCTTGACCAATCTGATAGCATTCTACGATGGCATGCCTGTATGGGTAGATGAGGGGAGAGCAGTGGATGTTGTCTACCTTGACTTCAAAAGGCTTTTGACATTGTCTCCCATAACATCCTCATAGGTAAGCTCAAGAAGCGTGGGGTAGATGAGTTGATGGTGAAGTGGATTGAGAACTGGCTGCATGGCAGAGCTCAGAGGGTTGTGATCAGCAGCGCAGAGTCCAGTTGGAGGTCTGTAGCTAGTGGTGTTCCCCAGGGGCCAGTTCTGGGTCCAGTCTTGTTTAACCTATTCATCAACAACCTGGATGAAGGGATGGAGTGTACCCTCAGCAAGCTCGCTGATGATACAAAACTGGGAGGAGTGGCTGATACACCAGAAGTCTGTGCTGCCACTCAGTGAGACCTGGACAAGCTAGAGAGTTGAGCAGAGAGGTACCTAATGAAGTTCAACAAAGGCAAGTGTAGAGTGCTGCACCTGGGGAGGAATAACCCCATGTACCAGTATAGGTTAGGGGTTGACCTCCTGGAGAGCATCTCAGTGGAGAAGGTCTTGAGAGTCCTGGCGGAAAACAAGTTAACCATGAGCCAGCAGTGTGCCCTCGTGGCCAAGAAGGCCACTGGTATCTTGGGGTGCATTAGGTGACCAGCAGGTCGAGGGAGGTTATCCTCCCCCTCTACTCTGCCCTGGTGAGGCCACATCTGGAGTGCTGTGTCCAGTTCTGGGCTCCCCAGTTCAAGAAAGACAAGGAACTACTGGAGAGAGTCCAGTGGAGGGCAACAAAGATGATGAGGGGACTGGAGCATCTCCCTTGTTAAGGAAGGCTGAGACAGCTGGGTCTGTGCAGCCTGGAGAAGGGAAGACTGAGAGGAGATCTGATCGATATTTATAAATACCTTAAGAATGGATGTCAAGGGGATGGGGCCAGTGATGGCCAGCAACAGGTTGAGGGGCAACAGGCACAAACTGAAACACAGGAAGTTCCACCTGAATATGAGGAAGAACTTCTTTACTTTGAGGGTGACAGAGCCCTGGAACAGGCTGCCCAGAGAGGTTGTGGAGTCTCCTTTTCTCGAGATATTCAAAACCCGCCTGAACGTGATCGTGTACAACTTGTTGCAGGTGAACCTGCTTTGGCTGGGGGGGTTGGACTAGATGATCTCCAGAGGTCCCCTCCAACCCCAACCATTCTTTGATTCTGTGATTTCTTCTTTATACTGGCAGGCATATTTTTTTTCACTGACTTTTTATATGTGTGGATTGCTTGAATTACTTTTTGTTTATGATTTTTGGTATTCTCACTGGTGAATGAAGAAGCTCCAAATGTCCATTTTCATCAGAGGTCTGCTAAGGTATTGGCAATTAGGCAAGGTATGCAAAAAGAAGAAATACTTTTATTTCAATCAACAGCATAGTTGAAGAAGGTGAAATGCACATGTTTTGGGGCACATAAGTCTTATTTCATGTCTTCAGTAAGCCTTCCCAACTCACAAAGATGCAGGTGAGAATTATTATCCCTACTCTATGACTGGAAAAAAAAATAATCATGAAGAGATACTAGCCTGGATGTTTCTACCTATTTCAGGAGCTTCAGTTTTGTATCAGTAGGCAGTGCCAAAGTGATACAGAACTTGAGTCAATGCTTATATCACTGGTTTTGCTTCAAACAAGCTGTTTCTAAATAGAGATCTGGTGAGACTTACCTGAACATCAGAAATGTGCCTGAATTTTGAGGCCTTTCTCATGAGCAATTCTTTAACCTCCTTTCAAAGTTTCTGTTCCCCTTGCATTGTGCCCTGGTTACTGAAGGGTTAACTACCCATCAGGTGGTTTCAGTCTTGTTGTTACAACACAAAAAGAAGATGGTGCCCTAGATTGACAAGTGTGTTTTCAGGGGCATCATGTACAGCAAGTTCAGCTTAGCTTATGAATTGACAACAGATTGATTGCCCAAATTTACTTCACCCAGTTCAGTTCCTGTATGAGCAAAGACCTTCAGAGCGTCAGATCTTTCTGGGAGAGCCATATCTAGTCATCTAAACCCCCCACTGTGTCTACTGATGCCTCTGTACTCAAATAGGAGTTAAGTACCTGAACACCTTTCCAGATGTAGTCCTGATTGTCACTTGGCTCTGTCTGAGAGAACTCTGTGAAGCAGTTCATTTATATAGGTTCTTCTGGGTTCCTCAGCTATTGAGGAGCCCTTTCTCTAAAATGTCTTTTTATTCATAGAGGGAAATGTTCATCATCTCCTAAAGCCTCATCAGGAGGGTATCAGAACTAATGGTGTGTTTGTGGATTAGCAGAAGTACTTGGCAGGCATCCCACGGTTCTCTGCAGGAGCCATATTGCCTTCAGCAACGTGAAGGGGTTGATTGTGGAAGCTGCATGGCAGCATGTTCAGC